AGGGTGAGGGCGAGCATGTTCTTCTGGTAGTCGACGTCCACCTCGACCTGGTCCTCGTTCTCGGTGTGGGGGATGGCGAAGCAGGAGCGCACTTCGACCTCGGTGCCATCTTCGGAGCGGACACCAACGAGGGCGCCGATAACGCGGGTTGATTGCGTATCGCGGATGTCTCTTCGCACGGCATGGTCGAGAATGGAGAGGATGGCCTGGAGGGAGTAGGTGGGGTTAGCGACGAGTAATTGGGGTTCCCCACGGGGGGTAAGCTGTATTAATGATGAATGTGTATATATGTCATGGCCTTGTTAAGGTCTATGACATGTCTCGGGTAATGATATCAGGTCCTGCAGCGTAGCAAGATGTGTCGTACCTGGGGCTGGATGTTGACGGTGAGCGGGGCAATGTTGCCTGGGATGCCAATCGTGGCCGGCGCGATGGGCCGCGACAGGTGGAGGAACTTCTCGGTTTCGGCGACAGCCATGCTGGGCAGGTTGGATCTCGGGTCGTCGAGGTTCTTTCGAAGGGGGAGACCTGCGGTTGAGGAGGAGATATCGAGAAGAGGAGGGGAGGGGGAGGGCGGGTTTCGGGTTGGTGGTGATGCGCGGGCCAAAAATTGAAGAGTGGGTTTGGGGTCTCTGGTCGGAGCGTTTTTTCGCGATAGGTCGCTTCAAAAAATCGTCGAACTCTTTCGCTTTCTCCTAGTGGGCGGTTTGCCGATTTTGCGATTTGTGGTTGGCCCCTACTGGGTTGTGCGCGCTAAGATAAGACACGATAACGGTCTCTGTGGCGGAAGTGCCCCGCTGTGGCTAGTGACTACCTAGTGTGGGATTTTCTGCAAGGCTGATATGGCCGACTTATAACTTTTTTTCCGTCGACCAAGTGAATGAGTTTTGCTTCGGTGAACAACACTTTTTAATCTATTTTTTTCTTTTGAAAGCTCATACATTGCTGTCTGTGTTTACCCAGAACTTGCACTGACAGAAAGTAAGATATAATGGGCCCAAGAGGTAGAGGTCGGGCCGGATTCCGGGGAGGAAGCAGAGGCGGTGCCCGTGGTGGTGGCAGAGGAGGTGCAAGAGGAGGCACAAGAGGGAGAGGAGGTGCGAGAGGCCGAGGTAGAGGAAGAGGAGGCAGAAGATTCGATACTGCACGTCTGGAAGAAAAAGAGTATGTTTAACCTTCCCGAACATTTTATGAAAATTTATGATAATCTAACACTGTCAGGACTTCAGATGATGAGTCCCAAGAAGAGGGAGACTCAGAGGCAGAGGAGGATTCTGATGTCTCCATGTCTGATGATGAGGATGTAGATGAGCAGCCTCAAAACACACGGCCTTATATGGCGCTCCTCCAAGGATTTAAGGAGTCTTCAGAGCCAAGTGCCAAAAGACGGAAGCTCGAGAGCGGCAGACCAGAAGCGACCGCCAAGGCCGAGTCCGAGTCCGAGTCTGAGTCTGAAGCTGGATCTGGATCCGAGTCTGAATCTGATGGCGATGAGGCCGAGGAGGAGGACAAAGATGTTGACAGGGTCGAGGAGGCTGAAGACCCAATGGCTGATTTGGAAGAGGAAGCGGAGCAGAGCGACGATGAAGACGACGTCGATGCCTCAGATCCGTTCGACAGCCACTTCGCTACCCCTGACGAAGCTGTGACGGCGAAGAAAGTCAAGGCGATCCAGAAGAATGACTGGACTTTCAAGCGAACAATGTCCAAGGTTTCAAAGGCTGTGGTGACATACCCTCAAGCGGAAGGAACGGACGCCCCGACGATCCCATCATCGATCTCCGGCTTGGATAGCCTCAAGCTCAAGCAAAAATTGCGGGAGATCGCCTCGAAGAAGATTGGCTCACTCGATACGCTGCAACGAGCGATTGCTCCGACGATATTCAATTACAACGACGTGTTGTATGATAACCGAAACATTCAGAACTCCAACGGCTTACGGCAGCTTGTATGCTTACACGCCGTCAATCACGTCTTCAAGTAAGGGACCTACCTGGACGTGACTTGCCTTGAATTTCAAATGCTTACGTACAAACAGGACCCGAGACAGAGTCATCAAGAACAACTACAAACTCTCGAGAGAAGAGAATGCCGATCTCGAGCTCAGAGACCAGGGCTTCACGCGCCCCAAAATCCTATTCCTACTGCCAACAAGACAATCCTGCCTAACGACTGCAAACACAATCGAGGACATCTGCGCGCCGGACCAGCGGGAAAACAGAAAGCGCTTCGACGATGCGTACACTGACGAGGACGTCAAATTCGGAGACGACAAGCCGGCCGACTTCCGCGACCTTTTCGAGGGCAACGACGACGACATGTTCCGGATCGGTATGAAGTTCACGCGCAAGACCGTCAAGTACTTTTCACAGTTCTACAACTCAGACATCCTGCTTGCCAGTCCCCTGGGCCTGCGCATGGCCATCGGCTCTGACGAAGACAAGAAGAAGATGGACTACGACTTTCTCAGCTCCATTGAGATGGTCGTCGTTGACCAGGCTGACGCCCAGCTCATGCAGAACTGGGAGCACGTCGAGTACATTTTCGAGCACATGAACCTCCAGCCAAAGGACGCCCACGGCTGCGACTTTGGCCGCGTGCGCAGCTGGTACCTTGACGACCAGGCGAAATATTTCCGCCAAACCATCGTCCTCTCCGGTTTCAACACGCCCGAGCTCACCGAGCTCTTCCGCACGCAGTGCCACAATTGGGCCGGCAAGGTCCGCTTCCAGGCCGACTACCCGGGCGTCCTCACGCAGCTAGGCATCAAGGCCCGCCAGACCTTTTCCCGCTTCGAGTGCCGCTCCCTCGAAAAGGAGCCCGACGCGCGCTTCGACTACTTCGTCTCGGCCATCCTCCCCTCCCTCATCAAGCGCGCGAGGGACACCTCGGGCACCCTCATCTTCATCCCCTCGTACCTCGACTTCGTCCGCGTGCGCAACTACTTCTCCGCCAACCCGGCCGTCGCCGCCCTTTCCTTTGGCACAATCTCCGAGTACGCCGACGTCCCCGAGGCCTCTCGCGCCCGCTCCCACTTCATGACGGGCCGGCACAAGGTGCTCCTCTACACGGAGCGAGCGCACCACTTTCGGCGGACGCCGATCCGCGGCGTCCAGCGCGTCATCATGTACGGCCTGCCCGACAACCCAATCTTTTACCGCGAGATCGCGGGAGACTACCTCGCGCGCAGCGAGCAGGATATGAGAATCGAGCCTGGACAAGGTACCGTGCGCATCATGTTCTCAAAGTACGATGTCATGAAGCTGGAACGCGTGGTCGGCACGCAGCGCGTAGGCAAGATGATCCAGGAGAAGGGCGATACCTTTGATTTTGTGTAAGAACAAGGAGAAGGGGGCAAGATGGATGTGTTTTGCTGCCATATTATGGCAGAAGTTAAAAAGTTGTCTTTTTGGAGCTTCCGTAGTATACATGTATACCCTACACGACAGTAATCTATAGACTGGCCAGGTATTTCCCTCTTGATAATACACCATTCTTATCAGTTACATTTTCTTCTCACGCCACATCGTCCTCTCTGCTTTTGAGCAAAGTTTTTGCCCCTATCCAGCAGACGACAGACCTCCTATACCGACTGGCATTGCATCAAAACAAAAGCCTCCACTCGGCTTCACGCCTTCTTGGCGGCCTTCACCTTCTTAGCCTTGACCTTGGCCCCTTCCAACAACTCCTCCTTCTTCGCCGCCTTCGCATCCGACCGGGCCGTGAGAAGCCTGAAGCTGGCCACCATGTCGTCGAACGCCGTCTTGCCGTCCTTGCGGTACCTCGTCACCTTGGCGACGTTCTTCTTGGTCAGGTCGGTGCTGCGGTGGCCGGAGTCCTTGTCGTGGGCGACGGCCTTGGCCGTCATCATGAAGCGCACATCGCGGGGCCCGTCGACGAGCTCGAGGATCGCAGAAGGCGCCTGGTCGTAGGTGCTCCGGGGCTCGGTGCGCAGCACGCGCGTGTAGCCTCCCGGGCGCTCGGAGTAGCGTGTGCGGAGCTCGCCGAAGAGCTTGGGGAGGAGGTCGTGGGGTGTCTAACGTTATATCCTTTTGTCAGTTTCGGTTCGTTCTTTTCGAACCTCGTCTCTGTTTGGGGACTAGTAGCTTCTTCCATCTTGAAGAGCTGCCGAGACCACCAGGGGTGTTTGTCCAACTCACGTAGAGAATCGCCTGAGCTTTCCGCCTCGTCTCCTCGTTGTCGCGCTTCGCGTAGGTGATGAGCTTCTCAGCGAGGCGCTGGGCCTCCTTGGCCTTAGCAAAGGTGGTGTGAATGTGCTCGTGGGCGACGAGGGAGGTGACGAGGCCGCGAAGCAGGGCCTGTCGTGCCGACGAGTTGCGGCTCAGATGCCTGTACTTGGTGAGACCTCCCGCCATGGCTGCTGTGAATGTGTTGAAGTCGTCTCAATTGAGGGAGAGAAGTCGGCGGGAGCAACCTGTTTCGTTTCGTTTCGTTTTCGTCCGTAGGCTGCAGAGGAACGGCTGCTCTGCGTGGTGAACAGGGCGGTGGACTTCGCAGCAGTTTGAGGCTATCGAATCGAATTGGATCGTCAAAAAAGCCGTGCTGATAGCCTCTGGAGTCGCTCGTTGCAATCCGTCGGCTGTCGTCTCCCAAATTTTTGGCGTAGGGTGGTTCGGAGCCTCTGGTTGGCTTAGAGGGACAATTAGGCGGGGACTGTAGTTCAGTGTTCCTGCCGCCAGGTGCTAAGGTACCTTGACCCCTGCCCGTCGCCGAAATCCACCCGGGGAGGCTGAAAGTCGCTCGCTCGCTCGCAAGCCCGATTAATTAACGTCATTCCGCACCGAAGCTGCCCGTCCCGCTTCTCGGAGGTCAATTCAGTGACAAGCGACAACGCCAATTCGATTCGACTTCCTACGACGTGCTTGCTCCAATTGCATCATGAAACCTTGAAGCCGAATACAATCTACGGAGAGGAACTATAATATCAAATCCCAGTCTTCAATTGCGTCCGTCGCATTTGGACTGGATCATCAGCCATCATGGGCTTCACCACTGGATTCGTACGCTACACTCCCTCATCCTCTCTTTCTCTCTCATTCTTTCTCTTGCACTCCAGAAACCTATGACGGAGATTTCATACACGCACTATTAGCATATCGTATAGCTAATTATCATACCTCATCAAACAGACCGGCGGTGTGACCGTAACCCTAGGCGTAGCCTACCTCACAGTCCTCGCCCACCAACGCAACCGCGAAAGCCAGTCCCACACCCTCCGCACCCAACACCACGTCCTCTCCTCCCTCCTCGAGCCCCAAATCCGCATCCCTCCGCCCCTGACACGCGCCGAACAGGCCGTCAAGGACCGCGAGACGCTCCTCACCTCCGCCAAAGACCGTTGGAACCGCGAGGTAGAGAACGCCGTCCGCTGGGCGCAGCGCACCGACTGGGGCGAGGTGCGCGAGGGTCTCGAGAGCGGCGCCGCGCGCTTCTGGGGCGGCACCATTGAAAAGGCCGGCGAGGCGGAGCAGGCCGTCGAGAAGAGCGCCGTCCCGCTGGCCAAGGAGGCTTCGGCCAAGGGCGCTGCCGCTGCGGAGGCGACCGGCGCGGAGGTCAAGAAGGAGGCGCGCAGCGCGTGGGAGCGCGCGAGGGAAAAGAGCCTCGCTGCCGAGGAGGCTGCGCGCGCCAAGGCCGCCGAGGCGAAGAAGCTCCTCGACGCGAAAGCCGCCGAGGCCAAGAAGATTGTCGACAGCAAGGCCGCCGAGGTCAAGGCCGTCGTCGGCGACGTGGTGGACAAAGGACGGCAGCAAGGGGAGGCGGTGCTCGTGGCGGCGAAGCAGGCGGCGGGCGTGGCCGAGGACAAGGTCAGCATCAAGGCCGACGGCGCGGTGGCGCCCGCGACGACGCCGGTACAGAAGGCGCTGCACCAGCGGTACGAGAAGCCGAGCGGATTGACCAAGAGCGTCAAGGAGGTGCTGGCGGAGCGGTACCGCAAGATGGACGAGCAGGATAATACGCAGCTTCGGGGTATTTGATTTGCCGCGGTTTTTGAACCACCTCTCTCTCCCGATTGTCGACATGACAGACGTGGGATTGAGGGGGGCGGGAGGAGAGCGGATGGTGGGATTATTGTACTACCAACCAAACCACACATATAGAATGAAAAACGGCAAGCCTCTTCTTTTTGTTTCTCTTTTGTGGAATCGTCAGTCTTCTTCTCTGGTTCCCGCGGGCGGAAGTGGGACATGGACAGGTGTGAGTGGTACAGCCGGGCCGTTTTTACTCAGATTTCATTTGCCTATAGGTTCTATCATTCAGGGGGATCGCGGAACGGTGGACGAGATCCGAGATCGAGAAAATCGAGGCTTCGCGGAGGACAAGACAGCTCAGCGTCTTCCAACCTTACCCACGATTATACTCTTATGTCGAAAAGTAAATCACCCCTTTACAGACTCGAGACTTAACGCCATCACCGACTCAAAGTACAAACAATGACCACCACATCTCACCAACCATACCCACGACAACATCAGCACCAAGGACCGCGAGCGACCCCCGCCCGCATCTTCATCCGCCTCCGCGACCGCGTCCAACTCTTCCTCGAACGCTTCGTCGACGGAGACACCACGGCACAAGCCGGCTTCAGAACCTACAAGGCGCACCGGGACGCGCGATGGCTCGCCAGAGATCGGGGCCTTGCGTCCGCGGCGCTGGCCGCCGTGTCGAATACCGAGGATGAGCCGAGTCGCCGCAGTAGGAAGAGGAATGCGGCTATGCAGCAGGGTAATCTGGATGTTGCGGTTGGTGGTGGTGACGATGTCGATGAGGGGCTGGTTATTCCCAAGACTAGGGAGCAAGGCAAGGAAAAGCAGATGACGGGGATTCTAGCCCACGATTCTGGGAAACCTTCTACGTTGGAGACGACATCATCAGGCGGGAAAGAGAGACGCCAAACTAGGACCCCTTCCCAGCTGCACAGTCTCTCTAGATCAAGTACGCTCTCATCCATCGTCTCCTCGACCTTCCTGGGAGGTAGTCAGAGACAGCAGAAGAGAAGAAGGAGGAAGAGAGACAGGTCGGACGCTAGGCCGGGCTACTTTGACCCGGACCCGTCACCTGCACTCACCAAACCACCCCGCGCGCAGGCGTCAGTGGTGGTGAGAGATGACGATGATAGGTTGGAGATGAATGTGCCTGTTGAGTTGGCGAAGGGGTCTTGGGGTGTTCCTGTTGGGACTGCGAGGTGATTTTATGGGAATTAGTCAGGGCACACTTCTATTTTGTCGAAACTCGGAAGTTTAGGAGGCAAGGTGTTGAGGGGTTTAGGAGGTGGCCGGTGAATTCGTCTTCCTCCACAACCCTTGATCTTTGCTTCGCTTTGGGTTCAATTCCTGATCGATGAAGGGCTCTCTCCTTTTCTCTGTAGGTCATCTTAGAATTTGCAAAAAATTAGTATGCAACGTGAAACGGAAGAAATGACCTTGATCGCCATACATATTGATTTCATTTGATGACGCAGGATTTCAAACCTCTTTTCACGAACAATGCCAATATTTAACGAACGTCAAAGGCATGCTTTTTGCCTTCTTCACATTACTATCGCATAACGTATAGGAAATGGTATATAGCACAGTACCATACAGACTGCGTCTGAGATGAGGGATAGTACCAAGGCTTCTCTAAGCCTTACATTCACACCCCTTATTTTCATCCCAGCAACATGAGTCCCTTTACTCCAAGCGAGTGTGTCCAACGACAAGTCGAAACTTTTTTCTCGCGTGTCCCCCAGTATCTCTCCAAGGCAGGTCATATCTGAAGGGGGACTAAACTTACAATCAAAGGAAAAAGGTGCGCGAGGGCATGTGTTGTGATGAGGTTGTGGTTTTTTTTGGTAAGAAAAAAACACAGTGACAATCGCACTTGGGAAAGTGTGTTTGGGTACCAGAGAGACGAAACAGCGGAGGTGAAGTGTGATAAACGCTCTTTGTGTTTGAAACTCATTCTTGCAACCCATAACTTCATCCGATCAAAGTCCTAAGAACGCCTTCGCTGGGTTAGGGTGTACATACTTACCAGGGCCAAGACCCATCTCAACAACGCACCTGTAGCACCTTTCGCGCCGAGCCCCAAGACCAACTTGACCCAGTAACCCACCCCGCGGACCTGAATACCATTGCGGTCAAAGTCGGGCTTGTCATTTGTCATGCCTTGAAGGCGCTTGAGCTCCTTGGGGGAGTACGGCATGTAGCGAACACGGATGAATTTCTCCAGCCACGAAGGAGTCTGCGCGACGGAGCGACGGTGGGTGAAGGCGTCGAAGGACGCGCGACCGCGGTAGTTGCCCGTGCCGGAATCACCGACGCCGCCGAAGGGGACAGTCGACATGGAGGCATGGAAGAAGCCGTCGTTGATGGTGGCACCGCCAGAAGTCACCTCGTTGAGGACTTGCAGCAAGTTAGTATGGTCACCTGTCTACAAAACAATGGGCTTTGCTTACTTCGCTTGCTCTCCTGATCATTGCCAAAAGCGAAGAGCGCCAGAGGCGTCCTGTATACCTGGTTCGCAATGTTGATTGCGTCGTCGAGGGTATCATACGGCATGATGGCGAAAACTGGGCCGAAAGACTCATCCTTCATGACGGAGTCGAGCATGGAATCGACCAGCACGGCAGTGGGCTCAATGTAGAGCTGGTCCTCGTCCAAACCACCACCCATGACGATCTTTCCGTTCGTCTCGTCAACCATCTTCTTGATGCGCTGGAAAGACTTCTTGTTGACAATACGAGAGAAGTCAGGGCTGTTCTTGGCGCCGCTGGGGAAGAACTCCTTGTAAGTAGCGTTAAGGCCCTGGATGAGTTGCTCGACGATGGCACGGTCGGCCAGGATATAGTTCTGAGAAATGCAGACCTGGCCGGCGTTGAGGCACTTTGACCACATGAGACGGCGAGCGGCGAGCTTGACGTTGGCGTTCTTGGTGACGAAAGCCGGGTTCAGACCACCCAATTCGAGGGTGACGGGCGTGAGGGTCTCAGCGGCCTTCTTGGAGATGATCTTACCGACGGCAGTGCTGCCCGTGTACATGATCTTGTCCCACTTGACGTCAAGAAGAGCCTGAGTCTCCTGGACAGCACCGTTGATGACGGTGTAGGCCTTGGGGTCAAGAGCAACCTCGAAGATCTTGGTCAGGACCATGGCGGTGGCTGGGGCGCTCTCGGAAGGCTTCAAGACGGCGGTGCAGCCGGCGGCGATGGCGCCGATGATGGGAAGAAGGGTCAACTGGACGGGGAAGTTGAAAGCGCCGATGACGAGAACCATGCCCAGGGGCTCCTTGCGGATGCGCGGCTTCAGGGCGGCGTAGGTGAGAGGCACATCCTCACACTTCTCCTCGGCAGCGAACTTGCTGAGGTTCTTGAGCATGTAGAGACAGTCATTGGCGCACCAGTCGACCTCGGAGAGGACGGCCTCGTGCTTGCACTTCCTCAGGTCCTTGCGCAGGGCATCGCAGAGCTGTGGGGAGTAGTCCTTGATGGCCCAGTAGAGCTTACGGAGCTGGAGGGTGCGGTACTTGAGATCCTTGGTCTTGTTAGAGCGGAAGGTGGCGCGGATGGTGTCTGTGAGGCGGTAGATGTCGTCGGTTGAGGTGTGAGTGAACTCGGCGATCTTTGTGTCGGTTGCGAGCGACATTTTGATGGCGTTGAGATGTGCGGTTCTTCAGTGTGTAAGGGACGGTGCTTCTTTCCTGGACTTCCTTTGTTGCGATGAACCGGACCTAGGGAGAGGAGAGATTCGTGAGGGGAAGTTGGCAATGGTCGGGATTCGGGGTCGCGGAAAAGAAGAGAAGGTGGTGTTGGTGGTGGTAGATAGAGTTGTAAGGGTTGCCTCGACTTATGTAGTCCGAGTAGCAAATATCAGCAGCCAAGCCGATGCAGAGGGCGTCGGTAGCTTTGTAGGGGAAAAGTGATGGATGCGACAGAGCTCCACCTGTGCTCGGCCTCCGTGTCGCGTGGGTGTGATGGATAGGTACCTTAGTTCGTACGCGAAGTGAGGTACTGTGTAGCAAGGTAAAGAGGCACCTTGAATGTGCGGGTAGGGACTTCCGGGCTTAGAAACCTCGGCGCATGAGATGGCCTAACAGGTGAGGTATCTTATTAAGGAGAACGTAGGAAAAGGTCAACCGGGTCCTTGGGATAAGCTGAATCGTTTAGTGATTGTCAATTTCTCACTTCTGGGACGTGGCCAGCAATATTGTTATCCCGTGGGTGGCGCGGAAAAAGAACTATCTGCAGTATTATGGGTGCAATGGCTGATGGCGGGACTTGTATGATGCGAGTGCGAGTGGTGATGTATTACTTGTCTGACCCGTACAGCTGAGAGAGGGGACGGGATAAGGTGAACGCTGGTGAGTGCAGGCAGGGGGGAAGGGAGGCAAATGCGCTGCACTGCACGTTGGAAACGAACTCGCTTCCCCAAGAAGGCGCGGGAAGGGAAGCTACGGGAACGGTGCGGTGCGCTAGACGCATGTGAACGGCACCCAGCAGCACTGCTATCCTTCTTCCTTTCCCCTTCATGGTATACCTTACTAAAGGTCAGGTAGAGAGTACTACGACAGATCCGTAGCGAATGGCGCCGCATAATAGGACGGACAGGGAAAGGAGGCATAGATGTCCCGACGGAGCGGGCTGCGACGGGGACACCGTCCCATCCTGTCCATGTCCTGCGCTGTGGTCCATCTGCCAACGCTCTATCTTTTCCATACATAGGTAACTATTGCTATCGTGGTCATGGAAGCTCTTCGTTCTTCTCTAGTTTGTTCCATGCCCCAAGCTAAAGAATCAACGAGCTGTCTTTTGAAGAGACTAATAGCTTCAGGTGAACCGTCCATCCTCACGGTCCATGTCAGATAACACTCAACAAGATTGACGAGCGCATGCTTGAGCTTTGAGGTTTCCTTAGCTAAAGTCCGAGGCAAAAAAAGCTTGGGAGCTCTAGCCAGGTCGTGCCAGGCTAACTTGGTTAAGACGGGATCACCCAAGACGGCGCCGCCGCTCGCCAATCCCGCTGCTCCGTTTCTTCCCCACATAGGTACAGGGCGCCACCCCCTGCCCATTTGCACCTGCACGATCTGGTCCTAGCCTGCCGTGCCTGCAAAAATTGGTGAGCAGGACATAAGAGGAATAAATTAGAAAAAAGTTGCCGAGGCATCATCACTCAACACGTCTCCATCAATACGGCTGACTAAGGTAGACGCAAGCAATCCCTGTCCTCGAAAAGGCGCGTCTATTTTCCTAACTCATGTTTAGGTCAGGTCCCCCTTTTTGGTCTCAATGAATATGATTTAACCCCATTGTTTCTCTAAAACTCGATTGGGCAAAATAGTCATGGCCGCGGAAAGCGGGTGGGTTCCATCCCGGATTGCTGTTCAACGAAATATGCATATTTGAATGTCATTGACGGCGGCCGATTTGTTTATTAATCAGACGAGAATAGATGTGCCAAACAAAGGACTGTAACCCTCAAACTTTTCGGTCGTCAGTACAAGCTTCTAGTCGTATAAGCTTATAGCACAATGGAAATGATGAGAGGATGGTGTCAGCAATTCGTGGTTACCGCCCATATTTGATAAGCTCTTCCCATCAGCCAGCATTATCCTCCAACCAAGCCGCTGCCAACGAGAAAGCCTTGACTTGTCACATCATATAACATTGATACGGGCATCTAAACGCAAGCCGCCGTTGTTTTTTGAATTTCTATAATTCCGATCTGGCACGGATGTATACATGGAGATGTTACAAGGGCAGGCCAAAGTCCCATGAACGGGACCACGCCGCCTAGTCATACACAAGGTTTCTGGTTCGCTCCCGACCAAGTCTGATAAAACAGATATTGGACAAGAGGCACACCGAGTCTGCGGCACTCAAGCCGAGCAGTGGTAGTGGGTGATGGTGCAAGTACGATCTAACCCTCTACCGACGGCCGAGACCCTTTTGCTTGTTACCGCCCCGGCCCCGGACAGCCACCATCTCGGCCACCTTGCCCTCCGTCTCGGGCGGCGGCGCCGCGAGGAACTGCTCAATCTTCTCCGTGCCGTCGATGACCTGTCCTTCCTCCAGCTTGCCGGCGTCGATCTCGAGCGCCCGCAGGCGGAAATCGTCGAGCTCCTTGCGGCGCTCCTCGTTCATGCGCCACTCCTTGGGAAACTTGGGCTTGTTCTTGAAGACGTGGTGCCGTGTGTCGAGGGGGATGTCCTTGAAATCATCCTTGGGGTCCTGTTGTAGAGTTTTCCATTGTTAGTTTTGGGTTCTCGTAACAAAACTAGACTTGGCAAGCGTGTGTATCGGGGACATATATGCATGTGAAATCGTGAAGACAAATGCTTACCTTGGCGCTGGCAATCAGGTCGTCCACCAAGTTGGAGAGGTAGCGCTTGTTCTGTGCCTGATGCTCGTACTTCTCCGAGCTCATCTTGACCACGTCCGTCTCAGGGTTGTACCGCGGCCCGACAAGCTTGCGGAGCTTGTCCGCCTGCACGTCGGTGAGCCCCAGGTCGGCCGGCGAGAACTGCACAACCACCTTCTTCTCCGCCGGGTGGTGCTCGCCCATGTACGAAGTGTACCGGAAGCGCAACACCTCGTCCTCTTTGGGCGGTTCGAAAGGCTTGGCGAGCTCTGTTTGGATCCGTAGTCAGCACATCGTTCGTTTTGTCCAAAGGGAGAGGGGTTGTAAAGGGGGGTTCTGAGGAGCTCAAAGGAGGAGCAGAAATGGGAATTGCAACGTACTGGACAGCAGCGGCATCTCCCACGCCATGATGCGGTGGTAATGTCTGTACTCGCGAATCTCATCCAGCTTCCCGTGCGCCATGGGCGTGATGTCGTCCTCCTCAAACTCCTCCAACGCGGGATCTATCGGCGCCGTCGGGTCATCGTCATCGTACCAGAACGAATTCCTTTGTACCTGCTGCCTCGGCGACTTCGTCGATCTCAACGGCGGGAGCGGCCCCTGCTTCGCAATCCGCGCCTTCAAGGACTCGGCCACTGACATGGACTGGAACTCGGGGTCTTGCTTCTGGAGCCTCTCGAGCTTCTTCACCTCCTCGGGCTTGAGGCGCGCCACCAGCTCCTCGACGGTCTCGCGCTTGCGGTCGTACGGATCTTCATAGATTTCTTCGCGTTCTTTCCGTGCCTGTTGCGTGGTGCTGGCGGTAAAGGCTCGTCTCTGGGTCGTCGTCGCCGTCGTCGTCGTGCGGGCTGCGGCGATGCGCGGCGTCGATGGTATCCGACGACTGCTGCGGACGCAGAGTCGGAATGCTTGCCCTGTTGCTGCCATGTTGGGCGTGGTTCCGTTTACATTGGCCAGAGGACAATGCTGGTTTTCCTGAGATTGATCGCGCTCTGCTAAGATGGCCAGTTGGGAATTGTCCCCGGAAATTTTTGGATCAAGCTCCAGCCACATCCAACCATCAAGCCACGCATGTGGGTCCTTCGATTGCTAACGCCACAACCATGAGTATAAGTCGATTCAAGGATACGTCGTAAGAACAATCAATATTCTAAGCATCTGAATTCGTCAGGAAAGCTAGTTAGTTTTAGGTAGCTAGATGATACAAAAGCATCAATTACTATTTTATTTCTTATACTAGGGTTGATTAAATGCATGTTCATCAAATTTAGTTTGTGATCTGTTATACTGTGATCATCAACAGCCAGTTCTAATCGATCAAATTGTCTCTTCTATGTCAATACTTCTTAAATTTTGCGGCTAGGTCAACTGGAACGCACTGAATCATCTTCCACGCCGGATTTCGCGAATAATACTCCAACGATCATACGGAATCCTTTCATTATGGTATCATCAACTCCTTGCATATTTCAAACAACATCACTCCATCGCATTATCCCCACAACTGCATCATGCCACTCAAAATCCTGACGGTCTCCGGTTCATGATTCCCGTGCTAAACTGCTTCGCCTTATCCAATGTGTTCTTCATCCCCAAGAAAGAGGAGCGATGGGATTTCATATCAGGCCTACTACGCAAAACATTAGCTTTGCCATCGTAGCCGATGGGGTTTAGTATTGAGAGAAAACTCACCTTCCATCCTGACCAACCCACTCCTGCTGCTGTTGCTGCTGCTGAGGCGGCGATCCACTCATCGGGCCAAAATAAGACTGCTGCTGTTGACTACCCGCAAGAGGAGGGCTATTCTGCCATGCACCCGGCGGCTGGAACGGCAGATCCGGGAACGGCTGCGTCTTCTGCGGCGGCGTTGTCCCCGGGCTGTACGTCGGTCTGTCAAACGACGACGGGTCGTACGGGGCGTGGTAGTCCACCGACATCCGGCCAAGGTTGGTCGCGGATGCGGCCGGCGGGGGTTGTGAAGAAGAAGCGAGGTGCGTCTGGCTGGCGGCGTATCCCGCTCCTCCCTGGTACGTAGGCGCTCCCGGATACGAGGTGGAGTTCTGGTACGAGGAGCGCTGGTCCATACTCGCTCTACGGAGCGTGGCCGAGGGCGCCGGTGGTGAGAATTGGCTGTTTGACACATTTGACGGCGCGGGTGAGGCGTTCTGGGTGTATGATGCGCCGAACGTCGTCGTGTTGGGCGCCGGCTTCCGTCGGATCGGGGCCTGGCCGGGCGAGAGGAGCGGTTCGCTGGCGGGCAGGCTCTCGGCTTGCGTGGCCCACTGCAGCGTCGGCTGCTTGACAAAGGCGGGCTTCGAGTAGGAGTCCATACGGGTGAGCTGGTCGAATTCGTAGTGGCCTAACTGCTCCTCTAGCTGCATTTGCTGGGAGTATCTGCGCTGGGAGGGCAGTTCCGCAATCGTCGTTGGCGGCATCTCCACGGGTTGCTCTCGCTCCGGTACCTTTTCTGGCCGGGGCGGTGGGGAGGTAAAGTTTTGAAGTAACGAGACCTGGGTGACGAGGGCGGCCTCGAGCTCCTCGGATAGTTCTCTCACGGGCCGATAAGCGCTTTCCTCGGACGCTGCGTTGTCGACTCTCTTGGCGCTGTGGGGGAATGACTCCGTCCGAGGGGTGTCTTCGTCGCTACCTTTGTCATTGTCTTCGTCGAAGACATCGCCTCTATCCTCGGAGCCCGTCGGCTGCTTGTCATCTTGACTCTGTGTCGACTTTGCATCTTCGTCGTCGTCGTAATTGAGACCCTGGTGTGCAATAGCAGCGCTGCGGATCACTTCAGTCACAGCCGTATTACCATTCTTCATGGCCTTGCTCAAAGCCGCCATGAGTTCCGAGACACGTTCCACGAGCACTGCTGTACAGTCTTCGTCGTCTCCGTACTGTATGGCTGATTGAAGGGCATTCTCGTTGTCCTCGTTGACGTGGAAGATGTCGGCGCCATTATCCAAGAGGAACCTCACGCTGTCCGCATCTCCTTCCCGAGCGGCCACAATTAAGGGTGTGTCGGCCTCTTGGTCAGCCAGGTTGACGTCGGCACCCGCATCCACAAGAACGCGCAGTGACTCGACCGGAAGGTTGATGACGGCGTTGATCAAGACTGTCGAATTGTCCCAGCCTCCAAAGACGTTGACTTCGGCCTTGGCTTTGACAAGGAGCTCGAGAATCGCCTGTTCTCCTTTCATGGCAGCGGCGATGATCGGGCAGGTATCTTCTCCAGTGCCGAGGTCGGGGTTGGCACCACGCTCAAGCAGGAGTGTGACAATTTCCACCTTACCCGATTCGCAAGCGACCTGTAGAGCCGTTCCTTGTGGGAAGTTCTCGTTTGTGGTAAGATCATTGACGTCGGCACCTCGGTTGAGAAGCTCTTTGACCACGTCGTAATGGCCCTCCGCAGCAGCGGCCTGGATAGCCCACCCGTTTGGTGCGTCAACATCAGCACCTCTGTCCAGGAGCAATTTGACGATGGCGAGGGTGCCATCATATGCTGCGGCAGTCAAGGCGGTTCCATAACTGAACGTTGTTAGTCTGGTCCTCCACAACGATGTAGTAGGTTAGGTTGCTTACTATTCTCCAGTGGCGTTAGGATTGACTTTGAAGTCATCAATCAGCAACCTGACTGTAGACTCCTTCTCGAGATCAGTAGCCTCATATAGACTCTCATTGAGAATCTCCGGTCTGATGTTCCCGTTGGTATATTTCCAGACAGCCTCCAAGACTTTGTCTTGATGCTCCGCCGTAGTTGCCGCACTAAGGAAGAGATCGCTGCAGTCGAGACCTCTGCGCTGCTCCAGAAGTATCATGACAATGTCCCAGTTCTCCTCCTCTGCCGCCACCTTCAGCGCAGTCTGGAAGCACTCTTGGGGGTGAGAGTAAGTCAGTAACTTGTTGAACACGTCCACCCTGCCAGAAACGGCAGCCTTGATGAAGGCCTTGTCAAACTCTTTGGCCGGGAGCTTGTCAGCGTAGGTTTGCGTGAGATATTCAAACATGGACAGGTCTGCGTGGAGACCAGCCAACGCCAGAGGCGAGTCAATGTTATCGTCCTCGACGGCTAGCGAAACCTGCTTCTCGACAAGTAGCTTGACGGCATCTGGACTACCGGAAGAAATGGCGGCATTCATGACTGGGCCGACATCACTGGCAATGGCGTTGGCATTTGCGCCCCTCTTGATGAGCTTTTCCATGACTTTGACGTGGCCAGCAAATGCCGCCATGTGTAGCGGAGTCTGCTCGCCGATATCGATACCATCGTCGATACTGGCGCCTCTTTTGAGAAGCTCGTCCACGATGTTTGGTCTGCCTATGTATGCGGCGAAATGAAGCTGCCACGAATGTTAGTAACTAGCCAAAATTTCCGAGCTGGCAGTGGCTCAAGATTGGATAGAATGTAGCCTTACAGGGGTATTGACGAGATTGTCCCTCTTGTTGATCTCGTGCTCATGGCCGTTCTGGATGAGCGCGGAGACAAGCTGCTTGAATCCGACCGCAGCGGCGATATGCAAAGCAGTCAACTCCTTGGCTTCAAAGCCATCGAGCACTTTCGTCATGGACATGTAGACGACGAGCCACCGGTACCTAATCAAAGACTCCGGCTTCTTCCAAAACTCATCCTCGCTGAGATCCTCCGCGATCTCCAGTGTAGCTCTGCTGGCGTGGTGCAGCCAGTGCTTGATGGGGTAGGGTAGTACCTTCTCGGCCAGTATTCTCGCCTCTTCGGCCTCGTCGTCTTGATAGCCGTAGGTGGATTCATCGTCGTCCCAGTCCGTGTCGCTGTCCGAATCGTCTTGCTCAGACTCAGTAGCGGCGCTCTCCTCCCCATCTGCTTCGGATACTTCACCCTCCTCGTCCTCGTCCTTGGCAGACTGGGTCTCTGCCTCTTCGTTTTCCTCCTGACCCTCCTCAACAACAAGCTTCACTTCCTCAGGAAAGTTGAACGCTTCCTTGATGTGAGCCAAGCACCGGAGCGCAATGATGCCTTGCTGCCACTTGTTTTCGTCATTCGACATGCCAAGCGTCTTTCTGGACGTCTCCTTTTCCAGGAGATGTTCTTTGACGACCCTGTCCATGAAGCCAATGGTATTTTCAGACTTGCCGCTTCTCGTCACCGTCAACAACGGCCTGCACTTCTTCACCAAATCTTGAAGCTCAGCCTTTCCTGATTCTGTGGCAGGAAAGCCCGCCAAAACAACAAGCTCATCCTCGGTAGGCTCTTCAAACGTCAAAACGAGTGTCCGCAGCAGCTCCTTTATCTTGTCGGTCTCCTTTTCGTTTGATTGAAAGATTTGCGCCCACGCAGCGTCCAAGAGAGCCTTGAGCTCCTGAGGCATACCCTCAAGCATGTGTCTAATCTTGAGATCACTTTCTGCTTTAGGGAGCTCCGCAAGCTGCATGCAGGAAAGCTTGATCCATTGACTGTTGGATGCCCTCTTACCAATTAGACTGCTCGCATAGTATGTGAGCGCCTTGTTGTAATTCTTGTCCTCGCCGAGTTTTTGCACCTTCTCCTGTGCCGCCTTGCGCAGCTCCCGCTGAACCTGGTCGCAGTACTTGTCATCCTCGAGATCGATGAGTTGGATTCCGTCCACCTTCAACGAGTCTTCCACGTGATGGACTTCCCGGCTTGTGAGAAACCATCTGGTAGGCACTCGCTTGTCGTCCTCTGTCTTGAGTTCTTGCAGCTCGGCGTTGAGGAACCGCATCAACTTGACAGTTGACTCGGCATCTTCAGGCAGAACGTGCAAGTTGTTGATGACGAAGTAGACTCTGCGACCGATAAACTCGTCTGTGAGAATATCCTGAAGAGTCTGCCACAGGTTCTCCACTGTGAGATTCGCCGAAGTTTTTGACGAATCTTCGCCCTTCTTCTTCACAAAGTGCTTCGCGTACACAGACAAGGTGGCTTGCTGGCCGATGAGCTGCCGCACCAGCGACTTCAGCAAGTCCTCAGCAGTCAAAAAGTCCGAAGACGGGTCGCAGAAGAAGTACGCAACGAGGGCGGCTCCTCGCCCGTGGTTCACCTTTTCGTCGGCTGAGATGATGTTGTCGATGTCCTGGAGGGCCGCCATAGTCGCTCGCGTCTTTCCTCTTCCCTCTGGACCGCGGACGTACAGTGCCTGTCCTCTGTGCTTTTGTGTCGCGCTCCCCGCTTCGTGGTCCTCTTTCAACCACTCCAAGTATGCCTCCGCCTTGGGAATCCAGATCGATGGTGGGAACTGAGGCGCAAGCATTTTGCGCTTCTTCGAGACTTGACCGCCGTTCAGCAACTCCATGACATTGTTGACAACCTCTGGCTCGATTCCACGGGTTGAGTTGAGTCTGTTTTTGGCGACCAGGTTGGCGCCATGAATGAGTCTCTTAAGCGGCTCTCTGACGAGTTGGTACCGGGGGTCCTTGAAGTCGCTAAACTTTACAAGATCTCGATGGTTGGCGGCAAGACCCATTTCCTGGATTCCAGGTAATGTCGCCGACTCTCTGGACACGAAGTCTTGCAGCTTCTTGGAAACGACCGTCTTTGCGATTTTCGACATGGTTGGGCCTAGCTTTGCTTGAGTAAAGTCCGTTGGGTGATTCTCGTAGAAGCAAAAGAGCTGGACGTGCGGGCTCATTTTGGCAGCTAACCGCAGCAAGTCGCCTCGGAGCTCGTTCAAGCTCTCGTCTCCGGGCTTCATCATATCTACCAACGCCGACGACTTGGTGTACCCGAGTTGTTCGCCGATACTACCCAGCATGGAGGCGATGGCGGCAACTTGAGCACCGCCGAACGGCGTTCCAAAGAAGGCGCATCCAGCGATGCACTCAAACAGCCTTGGGAAGATTTCCCTGTATGTTTCTGCTGCAAGTGTGATAGCCTTGACATTCCGTAAGCCTCGACTCACTTCATCAATTCAATTGTAGCAGGGTTCTTACCTTGGCAATAACCAGACCTCCCATGCTGTGTCCGATAAAGACAATGGGGCGATCTCTTATTTTCTAAATCTCAAATTAGATCAAGCTCGCGATTCAGACTTCAGCACGATCAACCTACTTCACGATTCGCTTGCAGCCCTTCCAACATTGATTTGGCAATGTCTCTCAAGAAAGTCTTGACTTTGAGATCCCCAACCCATGCTGATTCATACTGGTACAAAAGTATGCGAGCCTTGGGGAAGTCCCTCGCCAGACCATCCTTTTTGCTGGTAGATTCAGACGAGTTTTTCGTGACACCCTCATAGATTCCGGTTGCCCAGTTGAAACCGGCTTCCGACTTCCAGCTGTCCTCCGGATGGGCACCTAATCCAGGCACAAAGATAACACTATCGGTTGTATTAGACTCTTGAGATACCACCACAACTCAAAACTTGAGAAGATCGAGACATACTCAACATCAATGGCAGACCCAGTCTCCTTCTGAGGATTGTACAGTTCCCTGAAGCCCTGCTGAACCGTCTGATACGTCGTCTTGGGCTTCGGAGCCCCAGGGGCGCCGTGAGGCACCCTTCTCGTTCCCGTGCGGCGGATAGACATGATGGTGACTACTCGCTGCGAAGAAACATACACAACGAAACGAACCTGACAAAACGACAAATGCAACCGCGACTTCCGAGAAACTGGGGATCAACAAGCTTTGAATACGAACCGACCACGGAGCTAGGCACCGGCGTAATAAGCATAGCCTGACAGGGCTGCCACTTTGGGGTCCAAAATGCTAATAAGCCCCCTTCCCTGCAACTGGGCGGCCCGAAACGACCTTAGCGGTGTCAGCCACCCCCATGCATTGTAATCCTGCGATGCCAACGATCGTCCGACTGCGCCAATAGTGTCTTTCAGCTGAACCAAAGCCACCTCTAATTTTGTAGCGCTGTCCCACAAGTAAGCAACTCGTCTCACGCTGCAGTAGCGAGTTCGGGTTCGTCTGTATTCGGAATCTCAACGCGGTTTGCTTGCTGCAGGCAGGAAGGCTCTAGGCAATCAATTCATCTTAAAATGACAGGGGACCGCCACTGTTGGAACCCTTGGAATATCGTTGCCTACTCTTTTTACCAGCCAAATCGGGCTTGTTAGAAAGGTTTTCAATCACGCCGTTGGCTATTTCGGTCGGGCTTTTACCACCGTTGGAGTTGTTTCCATTGCGGGCGCTTCTGCGAGCAAGAACAGTCTGTCACCAACATCCCGCTTCCCGATAGCGACGATCTGATAGACTGCGCCTCGGAGGACCGTGATATCTCTCGCCAAGATCAGAGAAGAGCGTCGGGACCGAAAGTTATGGGACCAGACAACGCCGAAGACCAGCACAAAGCAAGATTCGCCGTCCACATGTCAAGCTTCTCGAGTCGCACCATGGACAAGTCGTCTGTGCCCTTTACTGTCCGGGTTCTCGATGACGCCGTCAATCCCGCAGTGACAGTGCAGGAGCCAAGAGACTGGAGCGATCTGCTACCAGCAACGAGCCGAACCAAGCACGATCACATCACTGTGCCGCAAGCCGACGACATTGAGTTTCTGGAACAAGAGCTGCTTGTCCGACGACTCAACGATGTCCAGGATCTTCTCTGGATCTGCGGCCGTCCAATGCCGCCTCGGCCTCTGCATTACCAGACGATATCGCGCGAGATCCACATCACAGAGAACCCCGAACTGCATCTCGTCTGGGCCAAGAACCGAATTTTCGTCAAGCCGATACCACGGTGGCTGCTGAGCCCAGACTTCTGGGCCGCCAACTTAGTCGATGCCTCGGGCGATCAGTCTGATCCACGGAAGCAGCAGCTTGTCTCCTGCGCGCTCGGTTTCCTCTTCACTTACACAGCCCTCATCGCGTATGAGAGCGACTTCCGCATAGCCGTCGAAAGAGGCCTGCTCCCGGATCGGATGAACTGGTACCAGTGGAAGGCAATATCGGCCCAGATCGCGCAGAACCATTGTTATGCGTCCATCAACCCGCGGTACTGGTACGGCGAGCTTCGTCTCAGTCGACTGAACAAGATTTACCGCGTCCGCCTGGGATACTTGCTCCGGGGTTATTCCAAGGTCGTCTCTCACGCCGTGTACGAAGATTTGATCCGGGACAACTTTGCAACGCTGGCGGCGATGCTCGGTTATGTTGTCATCGTCTTGACAGCGATGCAGGTCGGCTTAGCCACGGACAGACTCGTTGGTGACAGCGCGTTCCAAAGTGTGAGCTATGGCTTTACAGTCTTTTCGATTCTTGCGCCACTCATCGCCGGCGTATGCATAATTGGAATCGTAGTGGTCATGTTTGTGAGCAGCTGGGGGGTAACGAAAGTGTACGAGAAGAAGAGATTCCAAGAGATGGGTGTCGAGCCATTTTGGAGATTTCAGAAGACAGCCAATCAGTACACGAAGGTAGAATCGAAGCAGGAGGCTAGAGAGTAAGATGGCAGTCAAATAGATACCCCATAGATGAATATAAACCATTGTAAAAGAACGTGTGAAGTTGAAAATGCCCTGGACCACAACGAAGCAAGCTGGGCTGGTTTTGGAACAGATTAAGGGTTCCCAGCTAGACGGGTAGCCAAGGACGGCCCTAGCTTCCTGGCCAGGGCGTAGATCCCGCCTTCATAGAGGCCAGCGGCCGCTACAACACCCGATCTGCTAGCCCGTCCTACGACCAATCGGCTGTCCCACAGCGGCCGAACGTCACCCAAGGCAGTGGAAGGTGCCTTTTGGTGCCCGTGCCTGTAGAAGTGACTTTCCGTGAGAGCTTCAACACAACCTCAAATCGCCATCCACTCACTCGGACGTCTCTTCATAAACAATCAAACCTCGACCACAAAAGACCGCGTCTCTCATTCGCGCTCAGCACAACGGTGCGCCGCAACCACATCATGGCCGCAAAACCAGCCACGCCCCTCGAGCGCCACTGTCTCGTAACAGTAGGCGCAACAGCCCGCTTCACCCAGCTCCTTACTGAAGTCCTCTCCGCCGCCTTCCTGGACCATGTCACCTCGAATCGCTACACACACCTCACGCTCCAATGTGGCAAGGACTACGCAGAATTCTCCCGCCAGATGCTACCTCCGCTTCTGAATCAATACCCGGGAATCGAAATCACCGCCTTTGACTTTGTCGATGACCTGACCACCGAGATGGTCAAATGTAGAGCGCAGGCAGGTGTGCGGGAGGCTGGCGTGGTCATCTGTCATGCAGGTAAGCTAGGGATCATCCTTCGCGTTGTGACTCGATGCTCTCAATTATATGTATCCGCCTATACAAAAACATGTGTGTGTGCATGTGTAAGCTGACTCGAGATGTTTGCAGGCACGGGAACCATCCTCGACGGAATGCGCGTCAGCGTCCCCCTCGTAGTGGTCCCCAACCCAACCCTAAAGGATAACCACCAGGTCGAGCTCGCCGAAGAGATCCAGCGCCAGGGTTACGGGATCTGGGGCCGCCTCGGCGACATCGCGTGGGCCCTGGAGCAGCTGGCCCTGCAGATCGATAAGACTGAGCAGCAGTACCGGCCTCATCCTGTCGCGACAACGGGAGCGGCTCCGGTGGACGTGGATATCTGGCAGGTCAGCGGCGCGCTTATGAATCGCTGCGCTGATGAACCCGGTCATGCTGCTGCTGCGTCGGAGACAACTAAAGCGAGTGGCGGCGGCGGCGGCGGCGGCGGTGCTGGAAAGGAGGTTCAGCGGGAGGAGGTGGCACAGATGACGATGGGCTAGGAGTCTTATCAAAACTGGAAGCCTTTCAAATTCCCAGAGGAATCATGGTTGGAGAAGATTGAGGAGAGTACTATGACGAATACTCTATGAGGTTGTAGGAGAGAGGACGGTCGAAGTGGGGTGCATGGCATGAACACTGTAGCGATAAGCTTGCCCCTTAGACAAGAGATACCCAAAGTCGAACGACGTTCATCGTCGAGATAACATCATGTCGCTTTTCATTTATTCATCCATCACCTATTGAGAACATCTACAAAACTGTCGGCCAAGACCAGCTATTGCAGCCCAGCCACGGTCCAAACCTTGATCGCGGCATCGCCTCCGGCACTCGCAATCTTGCTGCCACCCTCAACCCACGCAACACCGTTGACACCATCCTTGTGAGCGTTGAGAGCCTTGACTCGGCTACCAGGCTTGGCCAAACTCCACACGCAAACATTGGTATCCAGAGCTCCAGAGACGGCGTGCGTTGCCGCATCGTTCCAGCTGATGCACGTAACCCTTGCCGTGTGCGCAGACCAACGGTCCGTCGCAACTTCCCAGTCGGCAGTCTTGTAGGCGACGATCTTGCCGATCTGGTTACCTGCGGCGAGGTACTGGCCATCCTTGGAGAATGACAGGCAAGAAATAAGAGCCGTCGACTTGTCAACCGACTTTATCTCGGAGAGCTTGCCTGACCCGTCCGCAGTGTAGATCTTGACAGAGTTGCCCGATCCCACAGCCACCGTCGGACCGAAGGCAGCCACAGCGCCAGGAGTGAATCCAAGGCGGTTCTCGGAGAGAAGCTGACCCTTTTGGTAGACGTCGACACCCTCAATGGTGGCCACGTACACCTTTCCATCCGTGGCCGCCACACCCTTGGGCTGCGCAGCAAGCTTGAGGGCCTCGCCCGCGAACGTGTTGGCTGACTCGTCTACTATCCTCAGGTGGTCGTCCCATCCAACACTGTACGTCTGTCCCGCCTCGGCGCTGAACTGAGTGACTTGATTTGTGTGCGCTTGTCCGTCAACCACTGAGCCAGTGCCAGTCGCAACATCCCACTGGCAAACTCGCCCGTCGAAGCTGCCGCTCCAGAGCGTCTGCCCCTTGCCATCAGACGACGCGCCCAATGCCGTGATGCTCTTGTTGTGGCCCTGAACAATCCTGCTAGGCTTATCGCTGCCCTCGTTGAGGTAGATCAAGTCGCCGTTCAAGTTCAAGCTTATAATCAGGCCGTCGGTTCTGCCATGGGGGAAGACAACGCCGACTTGCTGGTCGCCGATGCTGACGCCGTCTCCAAACTTCCACGTCTGCGTAGGCTTGCCTGACTCCACATCCCAGAGCTTGACAGACTGGTCGGCGCTTGCTGTGACAAGCTTGGTGCCATCCTGAGACCATGAAACGGCAAAGATGCTGCCAGTGTGTTCTCCCTCGCCGATCGACTTTGTAGGCTCGCCCGTCTTTCCGTCGTAGAGCTGAATGCGCCTGTCGGCACCGACCGTTACGAGCTGGCTGCCATCGGGCGAGAATGCAGTTCCAAAGACGAAGCCCTTGTGGGCGTTGGCGTTCTTCGAGTTGAACTTGAAAGGCGCACCGTGCAGGAAGCACAGGGAGCTGTCATCAGAGACGGTTGCTGCCCGCAGTGGGCGCTGTTGCCGCACCGCGACTGAGTTGACGACCTTGGAGTGGCCGCTAATCTCTCCGACAGAGTTGCCGCTGTCGGCCGTGATGCAGTGGCCGAAGCGCTCTTTGCCGTCACCCACGGCGATGATGCGCTGGGAGTCACCGTCCCAGCCAATATCGTTAATGCGCCCCGAGATGATGTGGTATTCGCCTGGTAATGTAGTCAGTACCGACCGA